TCTGCAACTAGGCTAGCAGCGTAGTCTAGACGACAGGTGGCAGCAAAGTCGACAAGCTCAGCAACTAAGGCAGACGCAGCAGCGGACTCAAAGGAAGAGTCAGTGACAACAGTAGCCAGGAGACCCGTGATAGTAGGACTGGCAGCACGAAGGGAGTCTGACCCCGGGTCAGCAAGAGCAGGAAGAGAGGACGTAGGAGGAGACGGCAGTGGGACACCCTGTGGAGCATTGGAGGGACGAAGTGCCATCCGGTAAGTGCCTGGGTCAGCAGGAAGACGCTGACGCTCGACATGACTACCAGTGAGAGCAGCACGGACAGGAGACGCACGACGAGACTCAGGCGACGCAGGACGAGACTCACGCTCACAACGCTCAGTAAGACCTCCAGTTGGACCAGTGTAAGGAGCAGGACCAGGGAGAGAGGAGGAAGACGGTAGCTGTGACTGCAGCAGGATAGACGGAGGACACCCTAAGGAGGGAGGAGGACAAGGAGGAGGGAGCTGACCAAGAACCTGCTGAAGGAGCGGAACGAAGTACGGCTGCGGCCGTGTAGCAACTCCAGAACCAGCAAGGACACCAACGTCAGGGTCCTCAGCACCAGCATTAGTACGAGCGTCCGGGTCCTCAGCACCAGCAGCAGCTCCAACGCCCGGGTCCGCAACACCAGCAGCAGCTCCAACGTCCGGGTCCACAGCACCAGCAGCAGCACCAGCGCCCGGGTCCTCAGCACCAGCAGCAGCTCCAACGCCCGGGTCCGCAGCACCAGAAGGACCAGCAGAGTCTCCAGCACCAGCAACACCGCAAGCAGCAGTGGGGTCCGCCACACCAGGCGCGCCACTCCGAAGAGTGCAGCGCTGCTCGTACCACTCACGGATCCGCTCACGGGAGGGGAGCTCCCGACTAGGAGGAGAGGCACTAGCACCAGTCCCAGCAGCACGCCTGGCTCTAGGGGTACCTCTCGTGAGGCTGCAGTGCTGTAAGTACCACTCACGCAGCTGCTCCGAGGAGAGGGCTCCTCTAGGTGTAGGACTCCCAGGACCAGCACCTCCAGACTCAGAACCCCCAGACTCCGAACTCTGTGGCTCAGCACCCCCAGTCTCAGCACCCCCAGGCTCAGTACCCTCAGGCTCAGCACCCCCAGGCTCAGCACCCCCAGGCTCCGCACCCCCAGGCTCAGCACCCACAGGCTCCGCACCCGCAGCAGGACGAGAGTCGACAGCTACCTCAACAGGCCCAACCGGGTCTACCTGAGACACACCTGAGGGAGCGGCACCCTGAGGGGGGAGGGGGTCTACGACAGCAGCACCTGGCGCGAGGAAGAGAGGCGGGGGGGGGGAGCGGGGCAGTGCGGTAGGGGAAGAGTCGGTAGTAGGGGTCGGACTCGTCAAATGTGATGTCCTGAGAGGGCAAGACTCGGCGCGAGGTGGCATGGTAGAACTGCCAACCAGGCGCGTCCGAGACAAAGCCGAGGAAGACGCAGGGAACAGCATGGGAGGAGAGCTTGTCCGCAGACGTATCGCGGACAAAAGCTCGAGATCCTCGGACCCGGAAACACGATGCATCGCCAACCTCCCCCGTCCACAACAGCGTGGGCGAGGTCTCCGGCAAGGAGACACGGGGCCAGAGGTTGAGCTGATGCGCAGCGTACCGGACCGCAAACGGCCACAGAAAGTGGGGGGCAGCCGCATGGATCAAGGAGGTACGGGCGACCTCCATGACCAGGCCAATGCGGCGCTCCGCAACCCCATTCTGTTGTGGAGAGGCCGGAAGCGTGAACGACTGCTCAATGCCGTGCTCAGCACAGTAGGCTGCCAAGAGGTTGGAGGAGAACTCACCACCTCTGTCAGAGTGCAAGCGCAGGACAGGAAAGTCCGAGTGAAAGCGCTCGCTGAGCTGGAGACGGGCTCTGCGGATCCAAGGGATCAAGACATCAGGGACCTCACCCTTGGTGCGCAAAGGGAAGACCGTGGTGTAGCGCGAGCAGTCGTCAACAACTATCAGGAAGTACCTCTCCTGACCCTGACCACGGACGCGGGCTGGGCCCCACACGTCCATATGGAGCGTCTGCAAGGGAGCAGTCGTCGAGGGAAACGAGGAGTGAGGAGCAGCGCGCTGCCGCCCCTCGACATAGGGAAGACACGGAGGAGCAGGTGAGGGAGGGAGGGGAGGAAGGACCCTGGGAAGGCCAGAGAAGAGGTACCGGGAGTGCATGGCACGAAGACGTTGCACAGACGGGTGGCCAAGTCGGTGGTGCCAGAGGTCAGTCTCGTGTGCCAAATAGCGACACGAGCAGGGGGCCGACAGCTGACCTGACGCGGACGCAGACGCAGAAGCAGCGACCTGAGGGGACTTAGTTGTCAGTGTGTACAGGTCCGACCCAGGCTGCCGAGTGAAGGTAGCCAAGTGACGGCCCGTACGAGGACACGTGTAGTGTGTCACGCGCTTGTAGGCAGGGGTGAACTGGTGAACACCCCCGTCCTGGAGCGCATATCCTGCCACCAGGCTCGTAGAGAACGAGGGGAGGTGGAGACCGGACAGTGTGCCCGACGGGACCGGAGGACAGGGAAGGACAGTCGGTTTGGTTTAGCGGAGACACGATGTTATAGCCCAGACAGGATGGTACAGCCGAGACACGATGTTATAGCCCAGACACGATGTTTTAGCCCTTTACGATGGTACATCCCAGACACGATGTTTGAGCCCTTAACGGTGGTACAACCCAGACACGATGTTTGAGCCCTTAATGATGGTACAGCCCCGACACGATGTTTGAGCCCTTAACGATGGTATAGCCCAGACACGATGTTTGAGCCCTTAACAATGGTACAGCCGTGACACGATGGTAAGCACAGACACAATGGTACTCGCCGTGAAGGGTGAGCGTGGGGCCGGAGGGGCCGTGAAGGGCGAGCGCGGGGCGGTAAGGGGCCGTTAGGGGCGAGAGCGGGGCCGTAAGGGGATGTGAAGGGCAAGTGCAAGGCCGTTCCGGGTTCGTAGGGGCGAGCACGGAGCCGTTCGGGGCCTCTAGGGGCGAGCGCGGGGCCGATCGGGGCCGTTAAGGGAGAGCGTGGGGCTGGTCGGGGCAGTTAAGGGCGAGTGCGGGGCCGACGGAGCCTCTAGGGGCGAGGTCGGGGCCGTTAGGGAGGTAAGCGCGGGGCCGACGATGCCTCTAGTGGCGATCACGGGGCCGTAAGGAGGGCCTCTAGGAAGGCAGGCGTGGGGCCGACGGGGCCTCTAGGGGCGATCGCAGGGCCGTACGGGGCCTCTAGGGAGGTAAGCGTGGGGCCGACGGGGCCTCTAGGGGCGATCGCGGGGCCGTACGGGGCCTCTAGGGAGGTAAGCGTGGGGCCAACGGGGCCTCTAGGGGCGATCGCGGGGCCGTAAGGAGGGCCTCTAGGGGCGGCTAGCACGGGGCCAACGGGGCCATTAAAAAACCGAGGCGCGCTAGGGCGTAGGTAGTTAGGTAGGTAGTGGTGGGCCCTTAAAAAAAAAAAAACGGTTCTAGGAAGGAACTGCTCTATACCATGTTAGAATGAAGGAACAAGAAAAAGTGATTGAACTAGCAGTGAAATCAGTACAAGTACCTAACCCAAGAATTGTGTACCCCCTATAGACTAACCCACTATAGCCTAAACAAGCACAACATATATAATGTTTGACAGGAAAGTCTGAGCCGAAACTCTCTCTGAGTTGGAGACGAGCTGCGCGGATCCAGTCGATCAACACCTTAGTGACGTCTCCCTTGCTGCGCAAGGGGAAGACTGTGGTGTAGCGCGAGTAGTCGTCAACGACCGGCAGAAAGTACCACTCTCGCCCCTGCCCACTGACGCGGGCTGGGCCCCACACGTCCATGTGGAGAGTCTGCAGCGGAGCCTCTGTCGGAGGAAACTCGGAGGAGTGAGGGGCGGCGCGCTGTCGCCCCTCAACGCAGGGGACGCAGGTAGGGCCAGGCCCCAGAGGAAGGGGAGGGAGAGACTGAGGGAGACCAGAGACAAGGACACGGGAGGTCATGCCTCAGAGACGAGGCAAGGAGGGGTGACCAAGGCGGTGGTGCCAAAGGAGAGTCTGGTGGGACAGCAGACGACACGAGCAGGGGGCAGACTCAGGACCAGACCTGGACGCCGCAGCAAACACCTGACTCGACGCAGCTACCTGGGCAGACTCAGCAGCAGGAGGACACTCAGTAGTAAGGGTGTACAGGCTCGACCCTGGCCGACGGGTGAACGTGGCCAAGTGTCGGCCTGTCCGAGCACACGTGCAGTGGGTCACTCGCTGACTTGCAGGAGTGAACTGGTCAACCCCTCGATCCTGTAGGTCCACTCCACTCACCAAGTTCATAGAGAACGAGGGGAGGTAGAGACCAGACAAGGTGCCAGAGGGGGCTGCCGGGCACAGAAGGACAGGGGAGAAGCTAGCAAGGACAGGTTCCCCAGAGGGGTCTGCCAGGGAGACTGCAACCGGCCGACTGAGCGGCGTAAGAGTGGTGCGGTCTCGAAAGAAGGAGCGGGACGCACCCGAGTCCGGGATGAATGTGTGTAAGGCCTGAGCCGGCGTAGTACCTGAGAGAGCAGACTCACCAGCACCTGGGGGGGCAGACGCACTAGCACCTGGGGCAGCAGACGCACTAGTACCTAGAGCAGCAGCCTCACCAGCACCTAGAGCAGCAGCCTCAATGCCCGGGTCAGGCGGTACACACAGGTAACAGTCACCAACAACAATAGTATCAACAGCATACATGGCAGCAAGGATAGCATCAAAGTCAAGATCAAAGATAGCAACCCCGGCCTTAGCCAGATCTCCCCAGCGAGGGATCTCTGACGCTTCAGGGAGCTGGCAACGCCACGCGTCCGTCAGGCGACCAAAGCAGCGCTGGGTGGAGTGCAAGCCTCCGCACTGCTCACCAGCGCGGTCGCCGGTACGGAGGACGTAAGAGCACGGACCAAAACCCCCACCGCTCTGACGCGCAGTGTACCTCTCACGAAGCTGTTGAGGGGAAAGGGTCACACCACTCCGCTACTGCTGCTGGCGCTGACCACCACCGGCGCCACTCCTCTGCGCAGAGTCGCGACTCGCTCCAGCACCGCCGCCTCCGCCGCCGCTGCCGCCTCTGCCGCCTCCTCCACCTCCGCCTCCTCCACTACCTCCGCCGCCTCCGCTCCCTCCGCCACCTCCACCGCCTCCGCCGCCTCCACTGCTGCCGCCGTCACCGCCACCCCCGGCACCACTCCCACCACCACCCCCACTCCCTCCATTGCCTCCACTACCACCTCCACCGCCCCCTCCAGCCCCTCCAGCGCCCTTGCCTCCATTGCCCTTGCAGGTGAGGCGTCTCCCACTTGGGGCAGACGCAGCGCCGACCGACTCAAAACCAACGAGGCCGGCCGCAGCAGCAGAGGCAATAGAGGGCAAGAGGGGGGAGGGAGAACACCCGTCAAAGACGAGGGTGTGAGGGTCACCACGAGAGGCTCCTATAGCGACAATGCTCTTCTGTATCGCTAGGAGGGCCTTCTCGAGGAGGTCAATGGTGAGAGTGGTGGGGCAAACTGGGAGGAAGTGGTCTCTGACTACGCGGAGAGAGTCAGGGAGCCGGGTGACTATGTAGTAAAGGGTGATGTACATGGGGGGGGGGAGGGGGAGGTTCTTGGCGCAGAACTCAGCAGGAAGCGCAGCGCGGTAGCGAGTGTCACTAGTGCGGAGGTGCGTAATGAGGTCAGCCACTGTGGGAAAGGCAGCAAGGTCAGGGAAGAGGTACGGTAGCATGAGGCGGCTCAGTGCAGCAGTGGCAGGGGAAGAGTAGCGTGCAACTACAGCGTCGTACAAGGTCTGAGCACTCTTGTAGTGGCTAAAGTGTGCACGCTCAGTGGTCGTTAAGTGGCGGCGCACAGCAAGGCGAGCAGCAGCATAGCGCGTGGCCCATTGTGAACGAACAGTGGCGTCAGCATCAGCAGCAGGGGCAGGGGAGGCACCAAAAGTGAGGTCAAAGAGGGAGAGGCCGTCTGCCCTATCGCACTGTAGGAAAAGCTGCAGATCATCTACCCAGAACTCAAAGTCCACTGCCCTACCCTCAGCGTCAAAGGTGAGAACGCTAGGGGAGGCCATAACTGCAGTAGGCAGGCAGTGAGTAGAGTGGGGCAGGGCAGTGCAGTGGCAGAGACTATGCTCTTACTAGGCAAGAGGGGCGGTCGGGCGGCTCGGCGGCTCGGCGGTCGGGCGGCTCGGCTGCTCGGCGGCTCGTCGGTCGGGCGGCTCGGCTGCTCGGTGCTAGGCGGCTTGGCGGTCGGGCGGCTCGGCTGCTGGGCGGCTCGGTGGTCGAGCGGCTCGACTACTGGGCGGCTCGGCGGTCGGGCGGCTCAGCTGGGCGGCGATTCGGCTGCTCGGTGGTGCGGGCGCTGGGCGTCGGGGCCGCAGGCAACGGCGAGGCCGCCGGCGGGGCCGCAGGTGGCGGCGGGGCCGCCGATGGCGACGGGGCCGCAGGTGGCTGCGGGGCCGCAGGTGGCGACGGGCCCGTAGGTGGCGGTGGGGCCGCAGGTGTCGGCGGGGCTGCAGGTGGCGATGGGGCCGCAGGTGGCAACGGGGCCGCAGGTGGCGTCGGGGCCGCAGGTGGCGACGGGGCCGCAGGTGGAGACGGGGCCGCAGGTGGCGACGGGGCCGCAGGTGGCGACGGGGCCGCAAAGGGGTCAGACAAGGGGCCAGGCGGGGCTGTAAAGGGGGCCAGATGGGGCTGCGGTGGGGCCTAGGTGGGGCCGCAAAGGGGTCGTAAGGGGCCAGACGGGGCCGCGGAGGGGCCGCAAGGGGCCTAGGCGAGGCCGTAAGGGGCCAGACGGGGCCTAGGCGGTGCCGCGGAGGGGCCGTAAGGGGCCTAGGCGAGGCCACGAAGGGGCCGTAAGGGGCCTAGGCGGGGTCGTAAGGGGCACGACGGGGCCGCGGAGTGGCCAAGGCAGGGCCGCGACTGGGCCGTAAGGGGCCTAGGCGAGGTCGCGACGGGGCCGTAAGGGGCCTAAGCGGGGCCGTAAGGGGCCGGACGGGGCCGTAAGGGGCCGTAAGAGCGGCGCGAAGGGGCCGTAAGGGCGGCTCGAGGCGCTACTCGGGTTGGGAGCGAAGCGCGCTCCGGGCAGGGACGGAAAAAAAGTTCGTGGTGGGCCCTAGGCAGTATTCCCACTCAGGAACCTGCTCGATACCATCAGGAGAAGTGAGAATGGATTATGAAACAACTAGGTACAAATACTAACCCTAATTGGGTTGTACCCGTTATGGGCTACCCCACTACAGCCTACACAAATGTATAAGCAATAATGTTCTGACAGAGGCTGGAGTTGAAATCGACCACAAGAAGCTGGATACGGTAAAAGCGTGGCATCCCCCGACGAATATCACGGAAATGCAGAGCTTTTTAGGGTTCGTTAATTATGTGCGTCGGTTCGTCCCCGATATGGCACCGTTAACTGCCCTACTGACGGATTTACTGCGGAAGGGGGTCGCTTTTACGTGGGGGGAGAAAGAGCATGCTGCCTTCTCTGCCCTGAAAAGTGTTCTCTGTTTACCGCCCGTCCTTCGCATCGCCAACCCACACCGCCCATTCGAAGTAGTTACCGACGCAAGCGATATCGCCATTGGAGCCATACTGCTACAGGATTTCGGCAATGGCCTACAACCTATCGCATACGAGTCACGAAAACTGCATCCGCCCGAGAAAAATTACCTAATACACGACCGCGAAATGCTTGCGATCGTACACGCGTTCAAAGTATGGCGCTGTTACTTGACTGTGTTGAGATAGTAGTCACAGTATAGAGCCATAGCTAGGGTTTAGCTAGCTAGGCAAGAGAGAAAAGAATAAAGGAGGGGTTTCACTAGCAGTAGTTGGGATACATATAGCAAACCCTAACAGGGTTGTACTCGCTATAGAGCATCCCACTACAGGCTAGATAATAACATTGTGACACACCCCCATAGCCAAAGTGGGGTGTAATCAACAGAGCACACATTCATAGAGCAGGTTCACAATGGCAAGCAAAGCTAGAGGCTATCACACAGAGCAAGTGAGGAGGAGGAGAGTACTGTGGATGGAGAGAAGATGGGAGGCAACAACTGAAGCTGCAGAGGCACGGGCACAAGAGCGGCTGACTCAGTGGCTACCGAAGCAAGGGCGACGGACTACTGGAGTGACTGGCTCCGCGGCTATAGACGAGCGGCAGGAGCAACGGACCCACTAGCGACTGGTGCAACAGGGTCACTGGCTACCAAAGCAAGGGCGACGGACTACAGGCGCTGCAGGCGACACGACAGCTACCTCCACACAACCTCCTCCAACTGACCCACACCCTTGACACACACCCCCTGCTGAACCCCTAACTCCACTCCCACGTCACCCCCCTAGCACCACTCCTTCGGCTCCCACACACCCATCCCCCTGAGCGGCAGCTGCAGCAGCGGGAGACGGAGGAGGAGGAGGAGCAGGGGACGGCGCACACAACCGGCACCCCCACAACCGTCACCCCCACACTCCCCACCCCCAAACCCTAAAACGGGTGGCACGGGGTAGGAGCGCGAGGGACGGCGAGGGGGACGGCGCGCGGCCCCCAGGGCGCCACCACGGGGCAGCGAGGGGCCACGCGCGGCTCCAGGGGTGGCGCGCGGCCCCCAAGGCGCCACCACGGGGCAGCGAGGGACCGCGCGCCTCTCCAGGGGTGGCGCACGGCCCCCAGGGCGCCACCACGGGGCAGCGAGGGGCCGCGCGCGGCTCCCCAGAGCGCCGCGACGTGAGGGGCGGGGGCCGCGCGTGCTCCCCAGGGCGCCGCGACGAGCAGGGCGGGGGCCGCGCGTGCTCCCCATGGCGCTGCGACGAGCAGGGCGGGGGCCGCGCGCGGGTCCCCAAGGAAGGAAACCGCCGCACGCCTCGTGGCGCACGGCGGGCAGAAAACCGCCGCGCGCCCCGAGCACACGGCGGAAAGAAAAACCGAAAAAAAAAAAAAAAAAAATCGGGGCGTGCAACAGACAGAGTAGCAGCGGAAGCAGTTAGGGGGGCCCACACGCCAGGAGAGTAGATGCTCTGATACTATGTTGAGATAGTAGTCACAGTATAGAGCCATAGCTAGGGTTTAGCTAGCTAGGCAAGAGAGAAAAGAACAAAGGAGGGGTTTCACTAGCAGCAGTTGGGATACATATAGCAAACCCTAACAGGGTTGTACTCGCTATAGAGCACCCCACTACAGGCTAGATAATAACATTCTGACAGACTGGCGCGGACGTGATAGTAAGGACAGACCATAAATCACTACAGTACCTTCGCGCACAGCCACACCTCAACCCACGACAGATTCGCTGGCTCGATTTCCTCGAGTCCAACTTTTACTACACAGTCACTTACAAAAAGGGAGCCTCAAACATTGCCGACGCACTGACCTGCCCTACTGCCGTGATCCACGCAATACTACTTGCCGAGACAAGCCCGCTACTGACAGGCCTATTCACCCACGGGTACCAAACGGATCCATTCTTCACAGGGGGAAATTCGCAACAGTTCTCAGCAGCAAAGGGAGTCTATTACGTAAAACCCGGGACTGACCGCATTTGGGTGCCTGGGTATACAGTGCTACAGGAATTACTGTTACAGGAGGCACACGACGGAGTTACCTCGGGGCATTTCGGAGTAGAAAAAACACGGCAGCAGCTGCAGTAGTATTATTACTAGCCCGAAATGTTGACCGACGTACAATGACACGTGGCATCGTGTCCCACTTGTCAGCTCATGAAATCATCACGACACCGGCCGGCAGGACAGTTGCAGCCGATACCCCCAGAGCGTGCTTGGCAGCATGTGACAATGGACTATGTCACGGGGTTACCAGCCGAGGCGAGTGGGAACGACGCGATCCTGGTCGTCGTCGATCGACTGACGAAAATGGCACATTTCGCAGCCTGGAAAAAATCAATCACAGCCGAAGAAACAACACGCCTCTTCATCTCCACCGTCGTTCGACTGCACGGGATACCAGCCGCGATCATCAGCGACCGCGACACCAAATTCACCAGCAACATCTGGCGAAACCTGTGGCAGCAGTTCGGCACGCGACTGCAGTTCTTTTCATCATACCACCCCGAAACCGACGGACAGATAGAACGGACAAATCAGACCATGGAACAACTCATCAGGGCCACGTGTCACGACCCGACCACGTGGGAACAGCAACTGCCACTAATCGAATTCGCGTACAACGACTCGCCATCCGCCACGACCCAACAGTCACCATTTTACCTAAACTACAGACAAGACCCGACAGTACCCATGACCCCGAATCCCGACAACCCAGTACCACGAGCACAACAGTTCGCCGAAATATTACAAGCGGCACGGACCCGGGCAGCAGACGCAATAAAAAAATCGAACATCATCGCTAAACGCAACGCCAACCGCCACCGCAGACCTGTCACTTACCAGCCCGACGACTTAGTTTTACTTGACACTCAGAACCTTCGACTGCCCATCACCCCGAAACTCTGCCTCCGATACTGCGGGCCAGTTCGCATAAGCCACATGCTTACACCCGTCACCGCCCACCTCCTCCTTCCTGCTGACTGGTACGTGAGCCCCTCATTCCACGTCAGCCTACTTCGCCCTTACGTCCCGTCCACGAGCCAACTGCCACGCAATCGCCCAGCCAGCATGACAAGACCACCAACTGAACCAATCATCACCTCTGAGAAAATCCTGGGTCACAGAGTTCACGACCCTCGAGGAGCCCGAAGGATCGAGTTCTTACTCCGCTGGAAGGACCGTACACCCACCGAAGACAATTGGGTTCCCTTGGACAGAATCGAAAACCACCCCGTCCTCACCGAGTATCTGCGCAGCCGAAATTTCAGGGATGTACACGCACTTGCGTAAGGAGGACCTCCTTAGGAGGTGGGGTAGTGTAAGGAAAGTTCATTTTCTTTACTTCGCATCCCTGCTCAACGCGTACATTACTGTAGCACCACAGTCAGCACCGTTACCACTCGCAACCCTCGCATCAACAATCCGCCCGCCACCTTCGCACATCACACCCGGACCTCACGGCTCGGCGGGTAACCCGTGCTCCGAGCCTCCGCTTCGACACTTT